AAGAACCAGTTTTATTCTCACGATGACCAATAAAATAAAATACGAGATCTTACATTTAGTATAGGATTTTCTCAATAAAATTGTAAAACATTTTTAGGGAGTACTTGTGTAATGATTTACCTTCAACATTTTGATTATTTCGTTATAAATTTATACTTCTAGGTAGTATACACTCCTTCTTTTTCTAAAACATACAACTTGGAAAGCAGCTCCTAAAAGATGCTATTTTTTTTTAAATAAAAATCCTTTCGTGCTATAACAGCAATCTAAACATTGATGAAACATAACACACATACTCACAAAAGTTTTTGTAGAACCCCAGCTCCGAGAACACATATGTTCCGTTGGAACAGTAGCACCCACATGTCAAAAGATCAATCTCATACTCCATGGAGTGGCACCTATCTGACCCCCCAAGCTATTACCAACCACCCCCTCTCCATCACAGGACATAACGAATGAGGGGGCTTTGTACTGAGAGTTACTTTGGATGCCCTGGGTAATAAGACATCCTCTGTTTTACTTTATGTGGTTAAGCCCCCTGTTTTTAGGGGTAGCTAGAAAAACTTTTCTCCCTATGAATAAATGAAGTTCATTTTTACATGACTTTGGACTTGTGTCCCAAAATGTGTGTTCCGGACAGCGAGTCACAGACCTAAGTTCGTCGATTGAGCACCCGAAGGGTCTGGATCAAGTTCACGTTTGTCGATACCTGACCTTGACACTTAAGTTCCGCGAACTTGGTCGTTTTGACCTACCTGAAGGGCCTTTTAGCTGAACAGTTTTTCTGCCAATGCTGCTGATCAGCATTCACTCTACTTTTTTGTATTGTATTGATGCTGCATGGCTGCTGTAACAGAAGGTTATACGTATCAAAAATAAAAATAACTTAATAAAAGAAATAAAATATAAGGATAGGGTATTTTTGGGTCTTCTGTTACTGAGTTTATTCGACTATTGCATGGCTATTATTTTTTCATTGTTTTTCTGGGTCTTCTTCATATCCAGCTAGTTGCTGTCTGGGCCGCATATGTACTGTCCTTTGGTTTTCGTCTATCTCTTAATAGTCTACTAGGATGGTTCCTGAGATAGTTGAAAATTATCTGTGCTTTTTCGTCCATTGTTCTCAGGATTCTCTTTTGTTCTGAGTCCCTAAACACGTACCTTAATGGAACGTCGTTAGGTATATCGAAAGCCTCTCTCATCATATGGTTCTGGACTATTTGTATTTTGTTTCTGTTAGATTTGCGTGTCCCCATGCGGCCGAGGGGTATATTAGTGTTGGTAAAATTATGCAGTTTGTCATCTTAATCTTTGTTTGAAATCTTAGTTTACTCTTCCGACCCATTAATAATTAGAGTTGACCTTTAATTATTTTAGCTTTCTGGACCGTTTATTCCAAGAGTTCTGTGAAGGTCAGCTTTTTGTCTAACGTTACTCCTAGGTATTTGGCTTGATTTGACCATTCGATTTGCATATTGAATAGGGATAGAACCCCATTTGGCCCACCTCTTTTTTTTGGTACATAGCAGCCTGTGTTCTGTCAGGATTGACAGCTTCTTCCACTGGAAACATCAATCTTGCAGTTCGTTAAGTACCCTTTGTAGATGTCTTATTGCTAGATCTGGGTTGGTACTGCTAACAGCTATCGTTATGTCGTCTGAGTGTAGACTTAACAACGATCTGGGTTTGGTTGGGGTGTCTGCTGTGTACCTGGTGTATAGATACGGCGACATCACTGCTCCCTATGGCACACCAGCCTCCATGGCTCCAGCTTCGGACAGGGTTGGATTTATCCAAACTCTGAACCTTCTGTCGGCTAGGGATGACATGTCACTGCCTCACTATAACCATATTGGTTCATTTTATATAGCAGGCCTTCGTGCCAGATTCTATCGAATGTTTTACTGATATCTAGAAAGGCGGCTGCTGTATATTTCTTTTCATTTAACCCTTTTGTAATTTATTTCAGTAGACGCAGTACCTGAAGCTCACATGAGTGTCCGGATCTGAATCCGAACTGTGCTTCACGTGTTCTTCTGATTTCTTCTGATTCTTATTTTGGTCTAGCTAGTATGACCCGATCTGCAATTTTGCTTATTGCTGGTAATAAGTTTATCAGCCGATAATTCTGTGTGAACGTGACATTTATCTCTGGTTTTTCGATCATTATTAAGTGAGCTTCCTTCCATCTACCAGGAAAATGTCCTAATTCTAAAATATGATTGAATACATTTGTTCTGCATATTATTTCTTTTACTGGCAGATTGTTCAGAGCTCTATTCGTAATATGGTCCTGTCTGGTCCTGAAGCTTTTTTGGCATTAGAACGCTTGATCAACTGTCTGACTTCTTTAGGGGGGGCATGGGTAATATATATGTTGCCCCTTCTTCTTTTTATTGCCCTGTTTCTTCTATGAAGTCGAGATCTTTGTAATAATTTTCCTACATTCTCTTACTAGCGTGTTTTTCATAACGTCCGCTTTGTATTCTTTTGTGTAGAGAATTTATCTTTTTTTAGTATTTTAGATAGCTTTCAGAGCGCAGATTTATTTTGGTTTAGTTGCTGGACATAGTTGTCCCAACAATGAAACAAATGGAGGTTTTTACACATGGCGTGACCCTTTTGGGATACTGATAGTTCCTTTATATATTTTATAATCTCGTCAATAGAAAAATCACATAATTATAATTATTATAATAAATGCCATATTAACATACTTCGTCTCTATTCTCCCTGTTTTTAGCTATTCAATAAAATTCTATAAAACTATGTTATTTTTACCTATAAAAATTTAAATGAACATTCAACGTTTTCTCACGAGGTTTTAAAATTCGCTTTAACGTCTTCAATAAATCAAGGATTGAACATGTTTGCCATTACTAACATGATTTAAATCAATGTAATTACATTCTAGATTTTGTGTTGTTCGAATGCGAATCCCCAAAAAGCTCGATTCGCTGAGATTTATAACTTGGGATGAAGTGTTTTATCGGTTGTTCGGTAGTTGCTTTTTGATTGCGAGAAATGAAGTGTAGTGACTGTATATACGATTTAAGGCGTCTAAACAAATTATAAGTACGTGTATAAAACTAGATTTTCAATTTTATAAGCTCGATATGAAACAACACAATTTTGATACCTTGTCTACATTTAATTTTAGAAAAGTGGAACGATGCCATGTTTCTTTGTCGTATATAATATTTCTTCGTCTTCTTTTTTATAATTCTACAATATTTATCTTTATTGAATATCATTCTTTGATCTATTTTAAACTCGAGGCTTGCTTTCTACCAACCAGCTTTCGTCCATCGATTTTCCCCACCATAATCAGTAAGAGAATAATATAGCTACTTCCTCTTAGTATATATTCAATATATGGTATTGCGATATTTATAGACCCGATGCTATCAATCCACTCACTGCTGTGAGTATATATATATATATATATATATATATATATATATATATATATATATATATTGTTATGATTGTTTATTTTGAGTTCAAACTTAGTTTATTGAGCCAATAAAAAAGAATTATAACTTATTTGTTATCAAAAGTAAAATAATCCTTATATTACCTGTGTTCGATGGATTCAAAAGATTTTCTAGTTGTCTTTTATTGGGATAGAGAAGAAAATGATAAGAATACAAATATATTATATTACAAAGATTTACGTTTCTTTATTTTATATGAACGAATAAAACAATTATTAAATTCTGTCGTTATCTTATCAATCAGCATACAAGAAAATAAATCAAATTATTATGATAATAAGATTATAAAGCTACATACATTTATATTACGTGACAAACCAATTTTACTTAAAATTTTCTTTACTTGAAAAAAGAAATCACAAAACTTTAAACTTTTGATTAGCCTAACAAAACCTCAGTTCTTAAATTTTAATGATAATGACCATGATGTCGAAACGATCCTTCACAGATATAAAATTCAATTGTACAAACACTTACAGTTTATTTTCTTCTTGAGTTGTATGTTGGAACATACCCAGAAAAGTCCAGTCTCCTCAAATATGTGATCTCCCCTCTTTGGCACCTCGGCTCCTTCTTTACGTCTCTGCAAACCTCCTTCAGACTACACAAAAAACACCTGATTCACTTCTCCAAACTCCGCTACTTATTTATGACACCAGGACCTCCTTTTGTCAACTTGCTGCCGTAAGAATACTTTCACATATACTTTATAAAATGCCCACGGTAGATACAAGGACCTCTTTTAATCCACTTGTTATCTCCTTCTTCAAACTATTCACTTCTTTTCGTTACGCCGGTATCTAAACTCACGAACCACACCCTATCTTGAGACAAACGACTGTTTCCTTTCGATGACCAAAATATCACTGACTTCTCCTCTCTCATGATCGACTCACCAAATTCCCATTTAAAAACGACCGTCCAATCAAAAAGCTTAAATTGTGTTTACCATGATTTTGGAAAAGCCTAATTTCGGTTTCAGAGAAAACTAAATAGCTTACTTTAAAATTGGTTTTTTTTCAATACATCATTTATACATATTTCAAAAGATTAAAATATGGTCATTTAATACTCGACTATACAAACAATGAAAAGATTAACTTACAGGTAAAATGTCTTCTAATTCTAAACAAAGGTTTTTTGATGATTTTGTTTGAAACGGAAAAAGGTCGTTTGCCAAACAAATTTCTATTTTTATCTACACTAAATCTTATCTTAAATTACTATATACAATTTGTTTATATTGATATCTTAAAATTTTATTTCGATGGATTTTTTTATTTATTTTTCTTTGGTTGGAAAAGAAAAAGTATGACAAATCCCCGCCTTTGCATATGATAAAAATTACTGAATTATGCAGGGATTTTTCTCTATGCAAAAACAATACCAGCATTTTATTCATAATATTTGTAAAAATCGTTGATATTATAAATTCCCCTAATCTTGTCTGATTCTATGTGCTTCAACTCATAACTATTTATCCCATTCTCATTGTTTACTATGTACGGACCCTCAAAAACAGGCATTAACTTTCCGCACACGTTGCTAGGTATGTTGGACACGCGCAATGCTCTCACCATAACCTTTTCACCTTTTTTTGAAAGTAACTGGTCTTCTTTTTCTATTTTGGTCTTGCCTCTGGATATATTTTTCGTTTGCTCTCCGCAATCTCCTCTGCTTTTTTTCACAATCACGATTGGGTTGATGTACGGCGAGTCACATCTCTCTATGATTTGATCTTCTAACATTTTGTTAATTTCTCCTTTCACCTCCTGTCGGTATTTATATGGGATCGGATAAGTTTTCGATCGAAAATTTCCTAAGTCTTTAACCTCAAATGAATGTTCATACTCTTTGGCTACTCTGTTTTCTTCATTTATTAAATCTTCATACTTTCTCAATATTACACGCAATTCCTTTTCCTTTTCTTCTCCACATATCAATTTTCTTTCTTTTTCCTCAATTTCTTTACACATATTTATTTTGTATTCTGCCTCCTCCATTTCGCATACTTCTTCAAATACCACTGTTTCAATTGTACCTTTTTCGTCTTCTTTTGTTAATCTTTCTTCTTTTTCTTCTTCCGGGCTCATCTCTTCTTTTGAGGAAACCCACTTTTCACTTTCTTTTGCCAATCTCCTCTTTCTTCTCTGTCCTTGTTTCATTGCCAAATTCATTTCCACTGTTTGTTCTTTGTCTAAATCATTTTTTTGTTTCTCATTTTCCTTTTTCTTTTTCTTACTGTCCTGTTCTTCTTCTTTTTCCTCTGTGATTTTCATCGTGTTATTTTTGAAATCTATCACCACATGTTTTTCTGCCAATTCATCCACTCCTACGATCATATCATGCAACATGTTTGGCATCACAACACATTGTAGTGCATACAATTTCTTATCCAATCGTACTTTTATTCGTATTCCTTCATTTATCGTTGCCAAAGTCCGTTTATTTGCGCCCACTAAATTTACCTTGGGAATTTTGTTAATCAAATTCATTAAATTAACTTCCTCTATTAGTTTTCTGTTGATCAGTGTAATTTCCGATCCAGTATTAATCATAATTTTAATCGGTGTCTCGTTGATAAAACCATCTACAAATTTCAGATTTGCTCCACTTATTTTGTCCTTATTTTCTGATAATTTAATAAATTCCTTCGGGTGACAAAAAATTCCTGTTTGTTTCTTTGTCTTTAGTGAGCGCCTTCGTGAAAAGACGCTTGCTGTTCTTGTTCGCTTCTACTTCTCTCGCTTTGTCTCTCATCCTCATATTCCTCTATGTGTGTGTTGTTGACCGCTCTTCTATTTTCTCTTGGTCTCTCGGACCCGTATCGGTTTCCGCGATTTTCCGGTTCATTCGTTCTATTATTATTTCGGTTTTCCTGATATGTGCGATTGTTGTTTCTATTCTGGTTCTCTCGAGATCTGTTTTCGTTCCATTGCCGATTTCTTTGTTCATAATTTACTCTTCCTATGAGTTCCACTAGCTGTTCGGACGAATAGTTGTAATGTAAGTGTCTCGCATTGTTGTATAGTTGTAGGGCATATGTTTTTTCTGATATACCTATACTATCCTGGTATCTCCCATTTTGTAATACCTTGTTTATTTCGATGGATTTTTTTATTTATTTTTCTTTGGTTGGAAAAGAAAAAGGACAATATATATATATATATATATATATAATATAATATTATATAATGTATAATATATATATATATATATATATATATATATATATATATATATATATATATATATTGAGGGGCATAGTGCATTATATAGCATTATATAACATTGAGGGCTTGTGATCTGAAGGTTGTTGCTTCGATCAATGAATTTTGTGCAGAGTGTTCAGCTCTACATCCAAATTGGAATTTTGGGATAAGTAGATGTACGTCTAGGAATTCTACGAGTTTTTCCTTTAAGATCTTCTCGTAGACTTTGCCTAAGGTACTGAGTCGAGATATAAGCCTGTAGGGTTCAGAGCTAGTTATGGTTTTTCCTGGTTTGTGAATCATTCATTTAAGAAACTAAAAAATAGATCAACAAAAGGCATGCATAGATTAGGTTTGTAAGCAATAGTATAGCGGGATAATACGTAAAACGGGATAATACTCTCTGGATGTTTTCTGAGGCATCTTCTGAAAATACTATCAGTTCCAGAAGATGTGTTTTTACCTAAGTCATACATCTGTCCGACGGTTTCCTATAGTACAGGAGCTATCATCGGATGAAAATGAGACTCCATGTGCATTGCAGGGTAGTTTCTTTTTGAGCACATCGTATATTTCTTGATCTCTTGCATTTAGTAATTTGATTTTCATAGGATTAGTCTAATCTGATTTTTCGATCATTTTCTCTTGTCCTTCTTTTTCGGTGTGATCGTCGTCAAATAATGGTCAAGTTAATGCTTAACACTGTTTCTATGAGTAATTATAATTAATCATAATTTATATTTATTACATATTGCACTGTAGGATATTAAAAATGCATTCCTTTTAATAGACACCACTTTTAACAGATTATTAGAGGTACTAAAAATGTTTCAACTCAACACTAAGTATCACTTTAGCAAAACGCCATTAGAAAATAATTAGGTCTCAAATCATTTATGTCAGTCCCTCTTATATTTCTTTATCCCAATCTCTTATACTATACTGTTACGTCTTAAGTTGAAGGTGATGACAAGAAGTTCGAAGGGCTGGGTCAAAAGTTCATGTATGGTAATAGCGCAAAACAATTTTCCATGGTCCATAAAACTTCATGGAGAAGTTCTCTTTGCAGACACTTATCACTTCTGTTACGGATTTTCATTGCTTCATTCTTTTTAAAACTTTAATATAGCTTCACGCCGTATCAACTTCCACAGGAACTTTATGAAATAAGTGTTCTTTATGGCTTTGCTGTATTTTTGATTAACTCGGAGGCGAGTAAGTAAAAAGTTTGATAACATTTTCGAATACATAAATATTTATGGTAGACGGGAAGTTTCATTTTCACATTTGCTAATATTTGCTTGTAGAAAGCCCTAAAAAGGATTTGCACTTTATTGGCAGGCCCGTAGAATTTTTAGTATGTTATTAGGAATAAAAATTGGTTTTTAAAAATATTTTAGTGGCTACATTTTTTCGGATTAAAACAAATGAAGCATTTGATAAAAATTAATCAACATTTTCTTTTCTTCAATGAATTTGTATTCAACGTATTATTTTTATTTAACATACCCATTGGTTATTAAATATTTTCCTCTGCAAATGACCGTATATTTTTTAAATAATTTTATTTTCTTTTGTTCCAATTGTTGTTTTTTCGTGCCTTTCATATCAACTTTATTGCGTTTTAATTTTAAATTTAGAACAAAAATATATGACAATTAATTATTATATTTTAATGTTACTCGATACCAGTTTTGCTACTTTTAATTTTTTTTATTTCTGTTCCTATTGAGTTTAACTGTTTGAATATTTCGAAGTTGTTTTAATTAAAAAATATATAAAGTTCTTTTCATACTCCCTCAATGCTCTTGAGTGTTTTTATTTATACATTACTCTGTATGTTTTTTAATGTGCCTCCAGTAGGTTATCATTCCATCGTTTTCGTGGTCTTCCTACTGATCGTCTTCCAAATAAGGAACAGTCACTCGCTGTCTTTACTACTCTATTCGTTGTTATTTAGTTCAGTTTAATTCTGGAAACCTGCGGCTCTGTTTGATCTTCCATTTCTGTTTCGAGCTTTGCGTAGGTAGATAGTGTGATGCCTAGATAAATAAACTTCATCACTTGTTCTATTATTTGACCTTCCAGCTCTAATTTTCTGGCCGTTATATTAAACTGCTGCAGCATACAGCTTTATTAAAGACAGTAGTATTGCGTCTTCTGCATCCCAGATTATTTTAAGTAGTTTCTCTCCGCTTTAGTATCCATTTTTAGTTCTCACTTTTTTATTATTACATCTAAGATCATTGAACAACAGAGGATTTAGAGAATCTCCCTGTCTTATCCAATTGCCAACTTCAATTGGATTAGTTAGTTCTACTTCTACATTTACTTTAATTGTGTTGCTTTGGTAGATTTATTGACAGTTTTAATTATTAGTAGAGATATCTCTCTTGCGTCTAGGTCAGGTCAGTGCATGCTCTTTCAGAGCTAAAACCTTGTTGTTCTTTAATTAGTGTTATAATTTTGTTGTTTTTATGGTGCCTATCCATTACGGATGTTGGACACTAACATGGCTATTCTGGCTTTGTTGACTGTTGCCCTGAAAAGTCCGGTAATGGTTAAGTTAAACAATTTTCGTAGTTTATGTAGCTAAGATATTCTTTTTCGTCCTGGACCTCTCTTCCCATGCACTTTACCTTGAAGTATGGTCCGAAGTAGGTCATATCGTTGTTCATTGCACATTATATGGTCCAGGTATTTCAGTTTGCGACGTTTTATGGTTACGACTAGTTCGCGTTCTTTACCCATTATATGTAGTACTTCTTCGTTGGTAACTCTGTCTATCCAGGAAATCCTCAACATGCGTCTATAGCACCACATCTCAAATGCTACGAGTCTCTTTAGTGATGCTTCAGTTAAGGTCCATGACTTCACGCCATATAAACAAACGGAGAATACGTAGCATTTTAGTAAACGAAATTTTATTTCCAATTTTATATCGTGGCTATTAAAGATTTTTTTCATTTTGACGAAAGCTGTTCTTGCCTTCTCGATCCTTATCTTAATTTCAGTCGATTGGTCCCACTGTTCATATAAGTTTACACCCAGACAACAAAAGTTGGTTATTTGTGTTATAGGTTGTTGGTTAAGTAGTAATTGACCAGGTGGTATCCTATTTTTGCTTATACCCATGTATTTGGTTTTTTTGATGTTAAAATCAAGCCTAAACCTGCTACTTACTTCTGTTACCCTGGAGACCAGTGTCTGCAGACCTTTAAGATTGTTTGCAAAAATGACAATATCATCAGCGTATCTTATTTTGTTTAATCGTTCTTCGTTTATAAGTATTTCCTCGTCTATGTCCGTTAGCGCTAGGTTCATAATGTGCTCTGAATATGTATTGAACAATAATGGGGACAATATACATCCCTGTCCCTATTTTTATCTTTATGTCGTCTGTTAACTGAACCCCAACTCTAACACCTGCAGTTTGTTCATAATAGATATCGTTTACTATACAGCGATCTCTGCTGTCTAGACCAATTGAATTTAATATTTTCATCACTTCGTCATGTTTTATTTTATCGAACGCCTTCTGGTAATCAATAAAACACACATATATATCACAATTCACGTCTCTACATCTTTGAAAGAGAACTTGTATTGCAAAAAGTGCCTCTCGAGTCCGAAATGCATCCCTGAATCCGAATTGTGTGTTTGTCGTGTGTTCTTCACAGTTTTTATATATTCTTTTATGTATAATTTTTAAAAAAGTTGTTAGGAGATATCTCATAAGGTTTATTATTCGATAATCTTAACATTTTTTGGCATTGAGTTTTTTAGAGATTGTTATAAAAGTTGATATTAGCCACTGTTGCGGTATTTTTCCACTTTGGAGTATATTGTTGAAGATCAAGGTAATTTTTTTTACTATTGACGTCTTTATCTATTTTCAATTTTCAAAAATTCTGAGTAGAACTCGTCTGATCCTGAGACTTTTCCCTCCTTAATGTTGTTTATAGCAGCTTCTACTTCTGCTTCGAGAATAGGTGGTCCGGTATCGTCATTTTTATTTTGTGTGATGGTGATATTCCTATCCTCTTCAAATGTTGTTGTCACATAGTTCATCCATGTTATAATTTAATTCAGTTTATTTGTCATCACTTTTGTTGTTAACTCAGATATGCCTAAAACTCACCTACTTTAAAATATTTTTTAATATATTTTTTTCAAATTTACGCATTATATATATATATATATATATATATATATATATATATATATATATATATATATATATAAATATATATATATATATATATATATATATATATATATATATATATATATATATATATATATATATATATATATATATATATATATATATATATATATATAGGTTATTCCACGAATATACGACTGTTTTGGATTATTGCGACAATGAATATTTTACTGTGCAAGTAGAAGTATGAAAGTAAATTGGTCTAATTATTATTCCAATAAAAAGGATCAATGATATATCGTTGCCTCAAAGCAACAGTAGGATATGTCAAATAATATAGTTTTGAAAAAAACGCAATTGAAATTTTTACGAAACTTCATTACTTATATTTTTTTTATATTTGAATGGATTTACATGGAATTTTGTTTGAGTATATAACTTTACAGACCTTACATAAATATTTATAGTAATTCATAAAAAAGTGAAAGATAATTGTAAAAAAAGTTACTTGTCCTACTGTTGCGCTAAAAATTAATCTGTTTCTTAACGATATACGTAAATGAGTGTTATATGTATATAGGCTATTCCACGAATATACGACTGTTTTGGTTTACTGCGGCAACGAATATTTTACTGTGCAAGTAGAAGTATGAAGGTCAATTGGTCTAATCATTATTCCAATAAAAAGGGTCTACTAGTATGACATCTAAACTAAAATTATTTCAGTTAAAATCTACAAATAAATACAATGACGTCTATGAAGCCAAATGTGTTCATCAGACATTTGGGTAAGCTTTCCGTGAAATGTAAACACCAAAAAGGCGTGCCTCTTTGGTGTTTACATGGTTTGTTAGTTTTAAATATTTGTTTGCTTTGAGTTTATGTACTCTTAAAAGTTCCGAAAGTAACGAGTATAACATACCGGCTATTGATAGTTAAAGTACCGAGTCGTTACAGATATTAAAAAGTAACGAAAATTTATATACAGTTTCATATATCGCCGACTGATTATGGCTGTGAATCTGATCGTTGATGATAGTTTTAGAAGATTAAGAGAATAAGTGAATAAGTAAGTTTTTTTGTTTTTTTTTTTAATATTAATTGAATATTCGACTAAAAAATTTACACTATTTGATCACTTAAGTATTGTTACATTTCGTTTAAATCACATAATTCAAAAACGAACTTGTTTACAATGAAATAATTGAAATGCAAAAATAAACTCGCTGATAGTAATTATATGCTTCAAAATCTGAATTACAACTGTTTTATAAACTATTAACTTTATATTTATATCATGACTTCATATTTAAATCTAAGGTTTATATCTGTCGTAACAGTATTTTAAAAATGGGGAGAATTTACTATTGTACAATTCAGTACATTGGACCATTTAAATCGACACCTTAAAGCGAATTTAAAACAGTCGTATATTCGTGGAATGAAGTATATATATATATATATATATACATATATATATATATATATATATATATATATATATACATATATATATATATATATATACATATATATATATATATATACATATATATATATATATATAATATATATATATATATATATATATATATATATATAATATACGACCGTTGATTAAATTTAAAATATATTCAATAGTTAAATAGCAGATGTTTTATCGGTCAATAATTGGCAAATAAAAGTCGTCAACTACTTCATTGATTTATTAGAATACGTTTCGCTTTTTTTTCTGCCAATTTCTCTTCTTCTGTCGATCTTTCCGTTGAGTATCAACTGCATTATCCTGTATCTGCTTCCTCTCATTATCTGCCCCAGATATTCGAGTTTTCTCTTTTTTATCATCTTTATTAAGTCACATTCACCTTGACCTACTCTGTTCAAGACTTCTCTGTTTGAAATGTGTTGAACCCATGATATCCTGAGCATTCTACGATATAACCACATCTCGAAGGCTTCTAATTTGTTCATCATGTTTACCTTCATAATCCAGGTTTCACATCCATACAGTAATACAAGATACACATAACATTTTTTGAACTTAATTCTCAGCTGTAAGTTCAGATGAGAATCTCTAATAGATCGTGTCTAATCTCCCTATAATATAGTGTCAACTCTCCCTCATGTTATTAGCTATAATTGGCGTTAAGGCAACAGGAAAGATATCACAGTTTGATTCTGATTTTGGTATATAAAATATGTTACATTATTTTTTTTTCTGCAGATACAAAAATTTAATTAGAACTCTATGAAAATATTTTTTTATAGGTACAGAAATTACTGTTCAAGAGAAAAATGTTATTCCTGAGAAAACTCTTGAAATTATCAATATTCAAATTGATAAAGAATTTGCTGATTGTGAAATTGTTGACGCTAATATAAACAAAATAGAACTGGTATTTATTATCACTACTTCTGGATTGTTTGTAATGTAATATATTATATTGACAGGCAGGCTGTAGTTGGAAATCATGGACCCACAACAGATTAGGCAGCCCGTGAGCAAAGCATTGGAAGTTTTAAATGTTGTTGGCGATTTTGGTAAAGCATGTAATAAGAATATTGTTTTCTGTTTTATTTCTAGATGCAGAGTGTGATGTATTAAGTAAGGAAAACATAATTCCTGAAGAAAAAGAACCTGTCAACTCTGCTAATACACCACAAGGTAATTTTTTTTCTATATTTCTTCTTCTTTTTCTTCGTGAGATTAGGATTACTCCTGTTTGTCTGCATCTTATTCTGTTTCAGTCGTTGTACTCTACATTAGCTTTCCACCTTTTTGGCGGCCTTCCAACGCGGCGGGTCTTCAGCTATACCTACAGCTTGTTGTTTTTACAGATGTTCGCTAACCTGTCTGGTCCTATTCGGTTTACATGTTCGTTCCAGTTTTTTTTTCTTGTTTTTATCTACGTGTTAATATTTTGTTTTGCATTGTTCGCGTATACTTCTGTTGGTTTATCTGGCTCTTAATGATATGCCCGCTATTGATCTTAATACTTTCATTTAGATATTGTTGATTTGTTGTTTCGTCTTTCTGGTATCGGTCCTTGTCTCCGCTGCATACGATAGGATTGGTCTTACTGTTGTCTTGTATACTTTCATTTTGCTTTCCGTGGTCAGATATTTTTTCTCCATATGGTTTCTCGGAGGCAACCACTTACTATTGCCGCTTTTGATGCTTGCCTTGTGGTCTTTGTTCTTATATCCCTGTCACTAATGATCTCTACTCCTAGGTAATTGAATTTCATTACTTGTTCTACAATTTTGCCGTCTATTTCTAGTTTGCATTTACACGGCTCTTTACTGATCACTATACATTTAGTTTTTTTACTGATCTCCTCATATTAAGTTTGTTTGCTGTGATATTGAAGGTGTGGAGCTGCCTTTGTAGGTCATCTTCGTTATAAGCAATTAGTACTGCATCATCGGCATGGCATAGTATCGTGATTTTATGCACTCCCATGTGGTATCCATGTCGGACAAATTGGAAGCCTTCGAGTTATGGGCCTACAGAAGGATATTAAGAATAAGTTGGGTAGATACAGTCACGAATGTCGAGGTGTTGAGAAGAATGGGTAAAGATAAAGAGGTCTTAAATACAGTTAAAATCAGAAAACTGCAATATCTAAGACATGTTATGAGGGGCGAGCGTTATAACTTGTTGCAATTAATAACGCAGGGAAGAATACAGGGTAGAAGGAGTCGCGGAAGAAGACGCATCTCCTGGTTAAATAATTTTAGAGCTTGGTATAACTGCACTTCTGATGACCTCTTTAGAGCAGCGGCGTCGAAAGTGCGAATTGCCATGAAGGTTGCCAACCTTCATGGTACGTGAGATGGCACGTGAAGAAGAAGAAAAAGATCGGCATAGCATAGTATCGTAATTTTATGCGCTCCCATGAGGTATCCATGTCGTTTCCTTACTTCGTGAATTATTTGATTCATCACCGTATTGAATAACAATGGGCTGAGCGAGTCTCCTTGGCGGATTCCTCCTTTTAGTTATATGCATTCTGTTTCTCCTGTTGGCGTTATAACTGTGGTCTTGTTGTTCTTGTTAATTTCATTAATTGTCCTTATTATCTGATGTTCTATTTGTTCAGCTTGTAATAAATTTAAGATGTCACTTCGCTTCATCCTGTCAAAAGCACTTTTTAAATCTACAAAGCACATGTATGCTGGTTTTCCATATTCAATAGACTTGTAATAAATTTAAGATGTCACTTCGCTTCATCCTGTCAAAAGCACTTTTTAAATCTACAAATCACATGTATGCTGGTTTTCCATATTCAATAGACTTCTTTATTATTTGTCTTATAATAATAATTGCGTCTATTGTGCTGCAGTTCTTCCGAAAGCCTTGTTGTTCATTTGCTATGTTCGCTTTTTCCTCGATTTTACCTTTTATGTCTGCTGTTAACAATTTTAATGTACTATTCATCAGAATAATGCCTAAACAATTTTCAGGATTTCTCGAGTCCCTATTTTTAAGTATCGGTAGCAAAAGACTTTCCTTCCATACCGCTGGTACTACTCCGGTATTTATTATATCGACGAATAATTTTAGGAGCCATTTGCGTAGGGTTGTTCCTCTATATTTTAGCAGTTCATTATTTATCTTATCAGGACCAGGTGCTTTTCTGTTTTTTAATTTTTTTATTCGTTCTTGTAGCTTTTCTTCTGATATTAGTACTCTATCGTGGGTTTCGTTAATGATTATTTCTCTGTTCTCTTCTTCTCCGTCTCTATATAATTTCGTGAAATGCTCAGTCCATTGTCACTCCGTAATGGTGTTTATGCGTACACATTCATTAATTTCTGTTTTTTGTTTCTTTATCATCTTCCACACCTTTTTCTGGGATCCATAGAGGTCATATTTCATATCTTTGGTAAATTTCTCCCAGTGTTCTTTTTTGATGTTTTCTATTTCTTAGGTTAGTCTATTCCTGATTCACACGTAGTCTTCTCGTGCCTCCGGTGTCTTTACTCCTTGGTATGTTAGGAAAGCTTGTTTCTTTTCATTTGCTAGTGCTTTCACTCTTTCGTCGTACCATGGAGTTTTGTATTTCCGTTTATTTCTGTTAACTGTATTTTACCTAAAGCTTCTTCCGCGGTTATAGGATATATTTTTATTAATTTTCCAGGTTTCTTCTATATTCTTTTTAGTCTCTAGGTTATGGCTATTTAGCTTTTCTGTTAGTCTGCTTTTATACAAGTTTTGTTTCACTTCTTCTTCTAGGCTTTCTATGTTTAGCTTTTCTTCTACTTTTGTATTTCGCTTGCCTTGTGTGGTGACTGCTATATTTATTTTTCCTAGTACCAGGCCATGGTCGGATCCTACATTGGCGGAAGATAGAGTACGTACATCTATTATATTCTTAGGGTGTATTTGTCTGTTTGTTTCATTATTTCAAAATCAGTAATATCGTTGATTGAATAACTATTAAACATGTAATTTTTAGGTTTTGCTAATACTGGATAGAGGAAAAGGTTTTATAAGAAGGAATCACTTCCTTCAAAAATAAAGAAACAGCAAAACTTTGATGTATAAGAAGAATTAGCAAAAAAGATTGAATTCATAGATTTTCAAACACATTTACTAAAAGAAGAGATTGAAAAAAAAAAGAAAAACGACTTGATAAAAAACATGAGTTAGAGATCAAAATATTACTAGAAAACAAAAAAAAAAACATTTGAATTCTTTAATGCGAATAAAATAATTATTTTTAAAAAAATTTTTAAATTACAAATTAAATTAGAACTATTTTCATCATGTATTATATTTTATTTTGAGTTATTGTAAATTAGCAAAATTATTTAAAATGAGAGAAGACCTTATTCTGTTCTGTTCCCGTATAATAACTTGGTTTCTATTAACTGGTAAACGTACTTCTGCAGCTTCAAAATAAAATTCATTTGGTGGCTCTTCTTCATGTTCTTCTATGGTTATATTGTGTAGAATGGCAGTTGTGACTATTATCGCATGTGAATGTTCCAATTACACCCGCATAAACATTGAGAGGATAGGAAACCCACGTTTCCACACCCACTATGATCTTTCCGCACAATTTCTTGTTCGTATATGTGATTCATCAAAAAGTGTTTCAGCAGACTGCTCTAAGGGAGTGATTAAAATATTATTAGCATACCCGCTATCTCCTAAAATAACACTTGTTCCAAATTCTCCATTCTCCAACCTTCCTCTGATTCTACTGTTATTATAAATTACCTGATCATGGAAAGAACCAGGCCACCGTGCAACAACATCCATTATCTTTAAATGTGCATTACAAATTGTTTGTACATTCCATGAGAAATATTTCTTCCGATTTCCGTATTTTTTTGCTTCATTTCCACCTGGAGACATTATACGAACATGAGTGCAGTCAATAGTACCAATTACATGAGGGAAACTGGCAATGGCATAAAAACCTTCTTTTACTTCCAAATGTTCCATGTCTGTTTCTGGAAATTTTATGTATCTTTATCCTAGTAAAGATGCAACAGCCTCAGTGACCTGGGTAACAATAACACATGTAGAGGTTTTGCTTACTCCAGCAGTCTCCACATGAGTGAGTAAAAAGTTATCTGTAGCATAAAAACGCAAGGTAAGAAGAAATTTTGTTTCTGGTCTTATAGCTTAATTGCGATCTACGAACAAATAATATCACCTATAATCTTATTCGCTTATCAAACTGTGAAGGAATATGAGATACACTGCCCACCAATAGAAGGCAAGAATAACTTTATCTCTAGCATATTCGCCCGAGCTGACATGGATAAGTTATCTGTTAGTTTATACTGAGAACAAACTTATTCTAAATTTGTAGAACACATTTTTTTGTTATTATACTGCATGTAGCTTATATTTTATTATAAGTATATACTTGAATTGTAGAACCGGCCCTCATCCCAAAAGCACAGCCTAATCAATAAGAGTAATTGAATAAATAGAAATAATAATACGTAATTAATAATGAGTGATATTTAAAATGTTTGCATTTAAAATGTAGTTTTATTTTTAAAATTTTCATATGTAAAAAAAATCCGAAATATTTCACAGTTAATTTTTTTAATCTAACATAAGCACGCAAATGCTGGAAATGCTGCTTTAAAATCTTAAAATTAATTTCACAAATCGAGTTTCACAAAGTTTCTACTTTTTGATTATACGTTCTTAGTTCAGCAGAGACGACAATCGTTATACCTACTTTCATTTGCGATAATGAACCACGGTTAGAAATAAAAATAGAAAATGACATAAATAGTAATACCAATTAGAATAAAAGTCATTTCCAACATACATAAATGAAAATACGAGAAAAATTCCAACACATTTATTTTCATTTAATACACTTTATTTTCAGCTGAGTTGAAAAGCTATTTTATAATTTTAATTAAAAATATTAAATCGCTTTAATATTGTGCACAGTTTTTTACATTCCGCTGCAGCTGCAAAAGAATATAAGTACATTTTTAATGTTCATAATATTTCTTCATTTTGTGAAATTACAGAATATATTTGCAAGTTTAGTTAATTCTGATGTTCCGGAAATGCTTTTATATGCAAGCGAGCGCCCGAGCAATTACACAAATAGCATGTTCTGCACGTACGACGCCACGAGAATGCCTAGCCTGTTTATCATCGGACATAATAGTGAAAGGTAAAAAGAGCCATAGATCGTTATGATATGCAATGTTTGTTTATAATTATTGCAGGTAATCAGAGCCATTTGTTTGAGTAAGTCAATGTAGTTATAAGATATTCAGTTATTTTGAATATTGTATTTTTATAAAGATAAACTTTTCGTAGAGGTCGATGTTTAACCAGCAAGCGAGAAAGACGTGTTTTAGGCACTCATTTATTGTGCTAGTTAAATAGTAATTATTGAAGTAAATTAAAAAGTAATTAAGTATAAAATTAAGTGAAAGTGATTTGTATACTGAATATTGGAATCATGAGTAGATAAAATATACTTTTTTCATCTATTTCAATTTAGATATTTAAGTAAATCACTGCAATTAGTTATAAGTAATATCCAATTTTCATGAACTGGTATCACAGCGAAAGCTGTAAAACAGCACCAGTTTTAGTCTGATTTTAAATCCATTTAAAAGATCTCATCTTCCAGTTAGCTACCACAAAATACTTCATACTCAAAAGCAGTTAGTCAACTACGTGGTATATTAGTCCCAAACAGAGATCAAGCTATTCTATTTAACACTCTAGAGAAATGTACAATTAATGACTATCTTGAAGGATTGAGTTAGCATATAGAACCAAAAAATATAATTTTTGCATCTCGTATATCAAACGGTAGAATATGCATATATGTATCTATCATCCAAAAACCTAGTAGATAAATTCATAGCAGAAACAAAGAAGAAAATAGTAAATGGAAATATACTAGAAGCGAGAAGATTAATAACTCCATCAGTCCGCCTAATTCTGTCCAATGCATGTCTAAGCATAACTTCTAACTTAATAGTGGATGAATTAATAAAACCAGGTTTAAATCCTCTCTCAGACATATCATATCTACCGAAAGGAGCAACCAATCCTGCCTTCAGTCATATTCTAAGCTTCCGAAGACAAATTTTTGTTTCACCTTTTTCAGTCAACTTTGTACTACCTGCATCTTTTATCAACGAATTGGAACAAACACCATACCGCATATTTATAGCCCAAAACAAAACATGTTTCAAATGCAAATTAATTGGACATCAGACAGCTAATTGTTCAAATATTTTACCTTCTAACCATCTTCACAATGATAATCTGACAATACAATACGATACTGTGCAATACAAACAGAAATGAGAGAAATTCATTAATAAATCATAGTCAACAAAATAATCTACAAAATACTCCCACAATCTCAAATACCACTCCCTCCACACTTACTACGTCTTCTCAAACCACATTACAAACAGTAGGAATCCCAAATTTATCAATTAACCAAACCCAACAATTCTCACTACAAAATACTTCTATACATTTGACTACTTTTCAGTTAACACTACAATCGCAACATCTAAATCGTCTGAGTCATCCTCTAATACCCAAAAACATAAATTAACCTTCTCCGAAACCAAATAAAAATATACATAAAAATTCTCACGATCCCCAGATAACTTCGAATAAAGCAGCCGGAAAAAGAACCCTAGAAGACGCAATCATGCCACTCGCCGAAGTAAACTTTTAAAGAACTAAGCTCTAATTAAAGAAAAAACAAAAACTTAAAAGATGAGATACCAAATCTCCAAACATTACTAAAACCAGTTAGAGAATATGTAGAAAGGGAAAAGCAATTGTTAAGCTTCGAGGAAGTAACTCCATTCCAAAATATACTAGGATCAAAAGACATAATCAGCGTAACAAAATTATACTCAGAAGATTCTCATGCACTTATAAAGTTTCTAACGGAATTACAACCATACTACATCAACAAAAGAATGAAAACCAAAAGAACCAAATTAATACGAAAACTTGGCAAACACTTTACTCTCTGCAGTGAAAACTTCATTGTCGGTAGAAGATTCCGATTCATCGGTAAATAATTGCTCTAAACAGTAGTAAGAACACTGTTGACTTCATATTTGTTCCATCACATTTAGGTATACAAGGAAATGAAGAATGTGGCAAATAGTGGAGTGCATCACAAACTAAGCTCAAGGAAATCAAACAATTAGTGAAACCGTGGCTCGAACCCACAGCGAATAGACACGACCAAATAAGAATAACACGTTTGCGACTAGGACGTAGGAATTTAACATACAGTATGGTGGACATGAAAGGAATAAACTCGTTATTTCGTAAACCGAAGACTTTAAGGAAAAATCCTGAAACCCGTCGATTTTTATTTTTAAATAAGCTCTTCGTAAGAATACATTTTTATTTTTGACGTCATCTATGTGAGCGTGATGACGTCATTGCTAAAATTTTTGAATAGAAAGGGGGGTAATGCAATACATCATTTGAAAGTTCTTTTAAATACCTATTCAGCTATATCAATATGTCTAAGTAATTAAAGTTTGTAATTGTTTAAAAAAATAATTACATTTTTATTATTGCAATAAATATTTATTAAGTACTATTCAATAAATACAACGAAACCTAAATTAAGCGCTTAAATTGTTTACCTTCTGCTAAAATACAATGAGAAAGGCGTGCCGCGAACTCTTCTCTAACATTTTCTAAAACTTCCGGAGTTATTTGAACAACCTCATTACGTATTCTTTCTTTCATTTCATTAATATTTTGTGGTCTATTTTGATACACCTTACTTTTTAAATACCCCCATAAAAATAAATCAAGTGGAGCCAAATCAGGTGACCTAGGCGGCCATTCTATTGTTCCTCTTCGACCTCTCCACCGATTTGGAAAGATGTTGTTTAAGTAGTTGCGTACCACGACAGCATAGTGTGGAGGCGCACCATCTTGCTCTAGCCATAAATCATTTCTGTTTGGAAACAACCGGTTCAATTCTGGAAGCAAGAAATTTTGAAGAAATTCTAAATATCGAGAACCTGTTCAGTTTTCTTCGAAAAAGTATGGTCCAATACACCTATTATCTATTATTCCCACCCAAACATTAATTTTCTTTGGGTATTGAGTACGGTACTCTTGCATCCAGTGTGGATTTTTCGTAGCCCAGTATCGATAAGTTTGACGATTGACATGACCGTTTAGTAGAAATGTAGCTTCATCAGAGAAAATAATCTTTTTTAAAAACATCGGATCTCTGTTATTTCGTTCCATTATAATGTCACAAAATTCAATTCGTCTACTAAAATCATCTTTCATAAGTTCTTGTACCAAACTTACTTTGTAGGGACGCCACTTTTCCTTCTTTAGCTGTTTAAGAACTGTTGAATGGTCCATGTCATTAACTAATGCTACTTGCCGTGAACTGTTATGAGGATTATCTTGAAAAGCTAACAGAACGTCTACTTGTTGGTTTTCAGATATTGGTTTTCTACTACCTTTAGGCAGGTCTTTAACATGACCCGTTTCTCTAAATTTTTTCTCAATTTTGCTTACAGTGGATTGTGAAATTGGTTCTCGACGGGGGTATTTATTATTAAATAACGCTCATACTTCTTTCTGCGTACGTGTTTTATCTCCATAACCAATCATTATAAGAATTTCAATTCTTTGCGTTTCAGTTAGCTTCATGTTCAAAGATACAAAGACTTTTTGAATACGTTTACTACAATAATACTATTAATCACTTGACAGAAAGATAATTAAGTTTGAATGTCCAACTATCAATGTTCATATTGATAAGGTAACTAGTTTTTTTAAAAAGGTAAAAAGTAGATAAAAAAGACATTTCATTATCAGTGATGGCCTTTATAAAATTTATTTTTGGGTGTCAATAATACATCATATCAATACTTAATAAATATTTATTGTAATAATAAATATTTAATAATTTTTTTTAAACAATTACAAACATCAAATACTCAGACATATTGATATGGCTGAATAGGTATTTAAAAGACCTTTCAAATGATGTATTACAATATCCCCCTTTCTATTTAAAAATTTTAGCAATGACGTCATCACGCTCACATAGATGACGTCAAAAATAAAAATGTATTCTTACGAATAGCTTATTTAAAAATAAAAATCGACGGGTTTCAGGATTTTTCCTTAAAGTTTCCGGTTTACGAAATAACGAATTTATTCCTTTCATTTCCACCATACTGAATAAACACCTCTTTACACTCGTAGTACACAAGTAACACTCGTCACAAAGCATATACTTACTAACTTAGTGCACAACATATAAAGCAGCAACAAAGAAGATCCCAAGTAATATAAAGGAATCCTTCTGAAAAAGCATGAACATTAAAAGCACAATAAGTTATCTTAAAGATTCAGGATTGTATCAATTATTGTAAATTTTCCTAACTTTACCTGTAATATATTTTTTAGGTCGCTAATAACCCTTGTGGTTACAGCGTAAATAAATAAAAAATCTTCCATACTTTTCTCGTTATCGCTTAATTTGGAAAATGCTGGAAACAGACTAAATTGTATATTAGGAATATTATTTTTGCATTCGTCATTTTCGTGTACATATGTCGCAACTGTTTTTACTATAGTTTAGCAAACAAAAAATAAAATAGCCAGAATCACGTGCCAATCATAAAATCTCGTAAATTTTTGAATTCGATCATTGGCGGCGCGTAAGAAAATATGTTTCCTTGCTGATCACCGTATATTATAATAATTTAATTATTATTAATTATTATTAATTATTTAATTATTATAATTATTCTGCGTATAAAAATAATAAATTAGAGCTAGTGTAAAAAATGAGTTTTCATTAATCATATCGTTACAAGTACAATTTTTCCCGCATTTTATCCTACGTATTCGGCAGTAAACAGGACGAAAGGGAATTATCAAGACTGGGAGTATATTTCTGAGAAAAATTTAATTCACTTGAGTGTAAAAATAACCTGTTGGTCTATTTAGTAGCGGAATTAATCAAATCGACATAATGTCCTCACATTATGTCGATTTTACACAGCAAAATATAGACACAACAGACTAATTAACATCTGAATTAGCAGCTAAATCAACGATTGCTGCAACTACGTAACGAAGCAAATATTTTTATTTTACAAGCAACAATAAAAAATTTAAAATTACGCCAAAGAAAGGATTGGAATACAAATTTAACTTGAATGGAACAGGAATAACAACACAGCCCAACAAAATGAAAA